AAAAAAAACACATAGTTTCCAAGTTGCTCCATGAAAGTAACTATAATACAATAAAATGTGATATTTTTAGTGTGTCAACTCTAGGAAATTTCCTCAAATACTTTTGCGGTTTCATTTAATGTGTGTGATGCTTTTGAAAATATAAGTTGGAATATCACAAAAATAGACTTAGCCAAAAGAGGTTTACATCCAACTTTGAACAAGGGAGCTCCATTTCGATGTTCCACTTAAGAGACTCAAAACCTGTCTTTCTTTGCAAATCCATTCCACTTTCTACAGTCTCTGTCTAGGAGAAAGTCACTGCTACCTAAACAGTGCCCCAAGCCAGAACCCTAGCAGCCATTCTTGCCTCCCGTCTTCACTTCTCACTCCATATCTAGTCAGCAAGTACTTCTCTTCTACCTCCCCAATGATCTCAAGTCCTTTCCCTCCATTCTAGCCACTGCCTTTAGTCTGAACCCTCATTTCTCCCCTGGATGAACGTAAAGTGTCTTCATTGGTCTTGTAGCTTCCTTCCATCCGCCTTATTGTCCAGAGTGACCTCACTCCAAACCATCGGGTAGTGACTCCTCAACTTCACATCATTCCATTGGTTTATGTTTCCAGGATAAAATTCAAACTCTTTACCCCCATATCTACTTTGGGGTCTGACAGATCTCAGTTTGAGTCTCAGGTTTAGGTACTTTCCAATAGCGTTGGACTCTCTGAGCCTTTGTTTTCTCACCTGCCTGAGCTCACTGAGAGCAGGAGTGTTTCACACGTACAGTGCCTGGTACATAGGAGAGACTTAATGTTGGGTGAAGGTAAAATCGTTTTAAATCCACAGCAAAAAATTTTTCTTCCTTCCAAAAAATCCTGGCATGACATCACTACCTCCCAAATCTGATTTCCACCTCTATTGTGTGATAATCACAATCAAGTACCAGTGGAGGGATCCACACCATCTGGGATCAAATTCTGGCAGCGCCCCTGAGCTATCATGCTATCTTGGGGGACTTACTTAACTACTGCTTCTCAGTTTCTTCTGTAAAATATATAAATTGAGGATTGTTTGGACAGTGAAATGAATATCTTGCTTATAATGGGACCCGGCGCATAGGAAGACCTTGCTGCATGTTAACTATCGTTATCACCATCTTCATCAAATCAGGATCGTGGTACGCTACTTTGTGGTTCTCCATTTTGTATGGAAAATCCTGCTTTATACACTGTTGTTGGAGAAAAAAAAGTAAAATGTGGAAGGTCCTGCAGTGGAAGGGAGACACAAGCGAGAAAAGCGAACTGGTGAGTCCCTGTGTTTCCAAGTTGGGGGGGACGTATTGGGTTCCCATGTTACCGATGAGGAAGGGGCGGGGTAACCTGTCGAGTCTCACTCAAGACTCACAGTCACAGCTCTTTATGGAGAATAGTACCGTGCTCTGGGGGTTGCTATGGTCAAGCTGCAGGCGAAAACTAGCACTTTTGGAAGACGGTAGAGGAGCATTTAGTTACAAAAACGGTCAACAACTGGAGTGTCACTAAGTTCGGTGGGCAACGGTCAGGCCCGGTGACACAGAGTTGCTAAAGGAACTGGCTCTTTACTAACCGAACTTTGTATGGAGCCCACTGACCGACGCCAGCTCGCGTTAACAAACGCCCGCGGCGCTTCCCTTCTGATCCCAGAGCTCTGGGTCGCGCTCGGGGAATCGGGACCAGAGTCTGGAACGCGCCGCTCTGGGGCGGGGTGGGGCGGGGCCTGTGGAGGGAACTCTGGGCGTGATTGGTCCCTCGAGGCCGGGTTCTGGTTGGCAGGTGCCGGTTGGGAGAACGGCTGTCAATGCAGAGGCTGCTGCGGAGCGCGGCGGAGCTCCGGCTGTGCTGTGATCCCGCTGTGGGTGCAGTTGTCCGCGCGTGTGGGGTCCTCACCCCTTGGAAATAAGCCGGTCTCCGCCCTCAGACCAGTCAGCTGGTGGGAGGCGGTAGCGGCGTGCTACGGGCGTAAGGCCGGTCCCGGGTCCCTGCCCGGGGCAGGCGGCCCGGCGGACGGGGCCGTCCGGGCATAGATAGCCCCGGGCTGCCCGTGCCGGATGCGCCTTTGTTGGAGGAGGGGGGACTGCGGAGCGCGGCGGAGCCCGGGGGCGAGCGATGGCGCCGAGGGCGCGAGGAGTGGAAGCGCCCCATGCGGAGCGCCCTGACCTGGTACCTCTGCGCTAATGCCCTCCCCAAGCAGGGCCGGCGCTCGGGGTCGGCGGAGCCGGACTACGAGTTCCAGGTCCGCGGCAGCTGCGCCGTCGCCTGCCGCCCTGGAGCCCGCGGAGTTGGAGTTGGGAACGGGCGATGGCCACCACGTGCGGCACAGGAGCGACCGGGAGATGCCCGAAGGTGAGGAGGCGGCGGGCGCCGTCCGCGCTCCGGCGGACCTCTGGCTGCGGCCGCCCCCAGGGTTCCCGGGAGGGAGCCGCCGCCTCAGGCTCCTTCCTACCTGGAGCCGGCTGTCCCGGAGCTGGGCACCGGTGACGAAGGCTGGCTGTGCCTGGCGTCTCCTCCCGTTCTTCAACCCCTTCGGGTCCGCAGGGTTCGTTCCCTCCTCACTACCCGAACGCCCAGTTCTTTCCCGTATTCCCACCCCCACCCCCACCCCAGCCTGAGACCCGACAGCCCTCGGCCCTTGCTGTTTATGGCTTTGCGGAACGTTTCGTGGGACTTTTTAAAGACTTTGGGGTGTATTCTCTCCCTTTTGTCAAGGAAAACTTGAATACCCCAACTTTGGAGTACGCACCCCCATCTCCCTGTGCTGACCTATTCGGGTAAAACCCTTGCTCCTACCCTTTAAGGTTGTTAATTGTTCAGCGGAACCATTCAACCCTAAATATTTTAGGGTTTGTTATGGGAATTCAAACTAGAGATTGATGACGTAGGAGAGTCCAATGGTGTCCTTCCGTGGGCTATTTTCAGTTGCCTGGATAGAAGCCGCGTTATACCTTCCAAGTATAATTTGAACACCGAAGGGAAAAAGACGGTGGGAGAGGGAACTTAAAATAACTGAACGATGTGACCTGTTACTGCCAGAGCCGCGGAGGATAGTTTTTTCCCAAAGGAGAACCCAAGGACTCTGCTTCCTTGAAAAGTCCCACTTTGCCACAAATATGTCCTGAGTCTTACTTCAGTGACTTAATAATTTCACTTTCACGTTGCCTGTTCTGAAGGAGAGGTGTGGCTCATGAGACTTGGTCAAAAGTTTTAAAAGAGAAGAAACCATACATTTAGAGTTTAATTTGTAATGTGAAGATTTGGGAGTTAAGATGGCAGATTTCTGCACTAGAGTGTTTGCCTCCATGGCTTCCCCTCCTTCTAATAGAGCCTGTTCTCCTTTATGATTGTTGAGGTAAATGGTTGGGGTGCGGGGTGGAGGGAGAAGAGAGGAAATGTTTGATTTCAGATAATTCCGGGTAACTATGGGGCTAGTGAATACTGTGTCCTCTGAAGTAGGAAACGTTGTGTCATAAAGCTGTTACAGTCCCATTGTTCCATTTGTGTCATTTCAATGCCAGTGATTATTTCATTATCTCATACAGGAAATGTCTTGTAGCTCTTTAAACATTATTTAAACTTCTATTTAAACTTTAGTTGAGTTCTTACTTTCTTTAAAAGTTAGAATAATTAAGTCTGTGGATTCACCATGATGATGGACATGGCTTTGTAACTGGGAAGTACTCCCTTTTCAGCATATTAAAATATTTTGTAAAAATGAACAGTTTATGGGAATTGATTAATTGTACCTTTAAATGCAAAGTAATTGTACCTGGAAACACAAAGGAAATAAGTATTTGTGAAAACTTGTGCTCCACTTGACGCTGTAAATAAAGCCCCTGAGTGATTTTACATACTGGTTAGTAGATGGGTAGCGTTGGATGACCGACCAAAATAGGACCTTGATATAATTCTTTTAAGATTGACAACACATTTTCAGTATATCTCAGTTGGCCCTTCTAAGTACAAATAAGGCCAGTGTATAGTCTTCCCTCTATTGCCGGTGAAGAAATGGAGACTTAGAGATTAGAAATGACTGTGTAATGCAGCTGGCAGAAGAGGCTGACATAGACATGATAGACAAGCCACATTCAGTTCTGGGGGTGCTGACAAAACTCTTCAGAATGCATCTTATGTTTTATCATTTATCCATGAAATGGGCCTATCTTAACTTACTCCAGTATTAATTCCATTCAAAGTGATTGTACAGAACTCAGAAGCAACATTTACCTCTCTGCTCTATATCTATAAACTTATTACCATGGATGAGAGTGAAAGTAGATGTTACGAAATGGCATTCATTTACCAGGTAAACAAGTTGACATATTTTTGTAAAGAGTTTCTTCTGGTGTCCTCAATTTGAAGCCCAGACTGCCTTGGACACAGGGTCTTTAGGAGAAGCTGGTAAGAGGGCAGGTAAGGGAAGAAGGATTAAGTAGAGGACTATGAGAAGGAATGTGAATCAGAAAAGTTGAAAACAATAGAGGTTGGGAGAACAGAATTTACCTTTTTATGTTTTATATGATAGTTAAAATTTCATTTCAATTTGTCTTTCGAATTTTTTTATGGCATTCAATAAAGTGATAAGAGAAACCTCAATTTCAGCATTTGCCTATTACTAGTTTCCATAGAAACAAGATAAGAACACCAACTATAAATTACCAGCAGGGCTGGCTGAGTGGCTGTTGTTTTGAGCACGAGCTCTGAACAACAGGGCTGCTGGTTCGCTTTCCACATGTGCCAGTAAAGCTGCGCCTTCTACAGCTAATATTGTGAACAACAGCTCGACCTGGAGCTGGACTGCTGTAAGTGGCCAGCAATGGCGTAGGCTGCAGTAGGCTGCTGTGAGCTACCATGAGCTGCCGTGAGTGGCCGTCCAATGGCCGTTGACCGACTGCCTCAGCAGGGAAGAGTTCAATGACATAATACCAACATGGACCAGCAAAGTGGTGTCCTCCACAACTAGACTGAAGAACAAAAGGACAGCAACTTGGCTGTTCCCCTTCCCAATTCCCCAACACTGTTCCCCTCCCCCAATTCCCCAATAAAATATTTTAAATAAACAAATAAAAAAATAAAGTACAAGCACACTGGAAGTTTGCTTTTAGTGTATTTCAGACAATTTTATTGAGGTTTCTCTGCAAACTAAGAAAGACCTACTTGCACATGAAACACTGGCTTTTCTACAATGGAGAATTGAATTATTTTGGTTATTGACACAAAATCATCCATGAATGATGCTCTGCCTTGTTCTTCTGAAACAGAAGAATGTGATATCTTCAATCCATTTTAGAGATATTCCCAAGAATCTAGTGTAGATTTCAGATAGACTTATAGAACTTTTCTACTACCTTGCCTTTATCTAACAGTATATCAGCTATAACTGATGTTAGTATCAGTAACAAAAAAAGACTAAGGTCCTGTGATCCAATATTATTATATTCATCAACTTTTCATACAGCCTTTTATGTTCTGACCTCATGAGTTTTGCTCATTTGCTGGCTAAAGGTGCTCTGTCAAGTGACCCCCATCCTCCCCCTTCCCCCAGAGTGAGAAAAGAAGGAATTGGTAATATTATGTGGAAAACCTTCTTAGCAACAGATCTTTCCTCTTTCCTGTAGCTGTTTTAAGCCCTCTGCCTTTTTTTGCTTTTGCTTTTTTTGGTAACAATAAACATTTGATGTAAAATATTTAGAAAATACAGGAAAGTCATTTACTTATGCTCAGAACTTCCAGAACTATTATTAATATTTGGTATTGACTCTCCCTGAATCTTTTGTATGCATATAAACACATTTTGTTTATTTTACAAATATGAGGTCACTCTTTATGTACTGCTTTATACCTTTTTGTTTTAAAGAGAAGTAATGATACAAAGCTCCTGGAACTGTGCTTGACAACTAGAGAGTTCTCCAGGCTGTGTCTCTATGCACCAGCCTGGAACCCTACAGCATGCCTTTAATAACTGTTTAGTGTACTGGAACATGGTTGGAACATCATTCATTTACCCACCCTTTATGGTTGGGCATCTTTTAAAGTGACACCATACACAATCCCATTCTAATGCTTTATTCTGGTGACACAGATGAAAACAAATGCATTGTACCTCCCTGTAGATCAGACGGAATCCTTTCTTATAAGCTAATTAGAATGTTATTTTGTAGTTAAGGTATTTTAACATTAAATGTTCTTATCCCAAATTAAAATTACCTTTGGTTTTTCCCAGGACACTAGGACTCCTCTCTTAGGTTTTTATGGTTCTCGGTAGTCTGTTTCGTGTCTTTAATTTTGAATAAGCAGAAAGTAATGCTCAAATAGACAAGTCAAAAGACAGCATTTACTGAAATCTTGGTAGGTATGGGAAAATGGGGAGAAACTTAACTGGTTTGGGGGTCCACTGAAACATGTTTAGTGGGCACCATTCCACATGCATGACAAACAGTGGTGTACAAGAGAAAGCCTCTACCCTAACTCAGGTTTTTACATTCTAGAGGATACTGGGGGCAGACAACACGTGAACCATCCAAAAAGTCAGGTGGTGATGTGCCAGGAAAGTCACAGCGGGTCATGGACTGGCGAGGAAGGCAGTTTATATGGCTGGTGACAGCTGCTCTCTTTTTGTGACACTGAGCAGTCCTAACAATGAGAGGGAAACATGTGAGCATGTGAGAGAAGTGGCTTCCATGCAGAGTTCCTAAGATGGGAATACACTGGTGCCGGCAAAGGATGGAATGATACGGGGATGGCTGTAGCAGAGTGAAAGGCATGCCAGGAGGAATGTAGTGGGTTAAGACCTTTATGCCTAGTGGGCCTTGTCAAAAATATGAATGTAGTCTAGTTGTAATGGGAGACCATTGTAGGATCATATGCAGGTAAATGATGTTAATTCTGGAAGGAAGGAAGGAAAGGGGGGGGAAGAGAGAGAGAGAGAGAGAGAGAGAGAGAGAGAGAGAGAGAGAGAGAGAGAGAGAGAGAGAGAAGCTACTGTGTGAGAATAGACTGTCATGCAGGTGAGGGTGGAAGCAGGGAGACCAGGTAGAAGGCTGGTGCAGTAGTTCAGGTGAGANAAAAAGACGGTGGGAGAGGGAACTTAAAATAACTGAACGATGTGACCTGTTACTGCCAGAGCCGCGGAGGATAGTTTTTTCCCAAAGGAGAACCCAAGGACTCTGCTTCCTTGAAAAGTCCCACTTTGCCACAAATATGTCCTGAGTCTTACTTCAGTGACTTAATAATTTCACTTTCACGTTGCCTGTTCTGAAGGAGAGGTGTGGCTCATGAGACTTGGTCAAAAGTTTTAAAAGAGAAGAAACCATACATTTAGAGTTTAATTTGTAATGTGAAGATTTGGG